AGCTACAGCTAAGCTAAAGCTAAGCTAACGCTAAGCTAAAGCTAAGCCACAGTTAGGCTAAACCTAAGCTAGAGCTAAGCTAACACTGAGCTAAAGCTAAGCTAAAGCGAAGCTAAAGCTAAGCTAAAGCTAAGCGACAGCTAAGCTAAAGCTAAGCTAAAGCTAAGCTAAAGCTAAGCTAACGCTAAGCTAAAGCTAAGCTAAAGCTGAGCAGCAGCTAAGCTACAGCTAAGCTAAAACTAAGCTGAAGTTAAGCTAAAGCTAAGCTAAAGCTAAGCTAAAGCTAAGCTACAGCTAAACTAAAGCTGAGCTAGAGCTAAGCTACAGCTAAGCTCAAGCTAAGCTAAAGCTAAGCTACAGCTAAGCTAAAGCTAAGCTAAACGCTAAGCGAAAAGCTAAACGAAACGCTAAGCTAAAGCTAAGCTACAGCTAAGCTAAAGCTAAGCTAAAGCTACAGCTAAGCTAAAGCTAAAGCTCCCAGGGGACTGGGGGGAACCGCTCCCAGGGGACTGGGGGAACCGCCCGGGGCGTGTTGCACTGCCCGGCCCCTTTAAGCTAAGAGAGTAAGAACCCTTCTAGGCAGAGCCTAGGTAGGGAAAAAACACAAGCGAAAACCCGTTTCCCGGGAATTTTGTGTGTAAAAAAACAATGCGCGGGGGGGTGTCGGATATCTTCGGGACGCCATCAGGGGAAGTGGGAGAGTATTTTCATATTGTGTAATTGTGGAGGAGGAGGAGGGGGGGGAGGCGGGGGGGAAGAGAAGGAGGAGGAGGAGGAGGGAGGAGGGGGGAGGAGGGAGAGCGAGTGGGAGGGGGGAGGAGGCGAGGGCGGAGGAGGCGAGGGCGGAGGAGGAGGGGGTGGAGGTGGAGGACGAGGAGGAAGAGGATGATGATGATGATGAGGAGGAGGAGGAGGAGGAGGAGGAGGAGTAGGAGGAGAAAAAAAAAAAGGGGGGAGGAGTCAGTGAGTGAGTGCGGCCCAGACCCGCCGATGGTAGAATGCATGCGGCTTGGAAAGATTGCGCTTGATCTTGGATCTCTTGGGGGTCCGTTCTTCGGACGGCGGCTGGCTGATTGCTTCGTGGAGTTACCGCTGTTGGGCGCGAGCCTCCTCGTTGCAGTCACAGCTGGGAACCTACGTACGTAGCGTATGGGGGTCGAAACATAAACCGTGATAGTCGTCACACGAATGGCATCGGCGAGGGCGATTGAGCATCCTACAGAGTGAGTCAGGGAATCTCGGCGTCCATGGATCGTCGGCAGCTTCGTCGCTATCAGCCACAGTAGATCAGCAGCGTCACCGCCGTCCACGCACATGATTCTACGACCAGGGAGGAGGTGTGGATAAAGGAGGGGAGGAGCAGCAGGAGGACGAGCGTGAGGAGGCAGTGAATGAAAGGACGGAGGAGGCAGGAGAGGAAGTGGCTGATGAGGAAGATGCTGCAAGTTCTGCTCCCCCTGGCATTCTGACCCTCGGTGGTCCCTGGCCCCGGTGGTCCCGGAGGGCCCCCCCAGGCCGAGATAGGCCACAGCGCGGCCCGGACCTTCCCCAGAGCTCCACCGGGAAACCTCCCCCCCTCGATCGGGGAGGGCCCGGGGGGCAACAAAAACACAAACACACACACACACACTGTGGAACAAAAACACACAAAAACACACATTTTGTGTCAAACACACACACACACATTGTGTTTTTTTCCCACACTGTGTGTTGTGTGTGTGTGTGTTTTTGAATGTTTTTTTCCACAGACTCGGCATGGGAAGGGGCTCGAGGACGAGCGCGAGGAGGACATCGCACGCGAGCGAACGCCAGACGCGCTGGCCCGAGGTGCCGCTCGGGCGAGGGCCGGGCAGGCGGCCCGGTCGGGCGGGGTCATGCCCCCGAAGGCGCATGACGGTCGCGGGCCGCGGGCGCCGGGGGGCGCCAGGCCCTGCAAGGACCGGCCCTCAGCTGCGCCTCCGAGGATGAGACGACGCCGATGACGCTGCCGCTCCTCCTCCTCTAGTAGGAAAGTGGCACCCCTGGCGGCAGAATGTCCTATGCGTTTATTGTTTGAGACTAGCAGAGAGAGAGAGAGGGAGGGAGAGAGAGAGAGAGGGAGAAGGAGAGAGAGAGAGAGAGAAAACAACAACACAACAATTATACTGAAGAGGGTATCGCATGTAGTGCGAGGCTTCCACATTATGTATGACAAGAGAGACCACGAGTGAGACCACATGGAATAACAGAAGGAGAGATTACAGTCAAGGGAGGAACAAAAACACCCAGACCGGACATTTGGCGTTTACTGAACGCACATGGGCGTTTACTAAACAGCCTTGCCCTGTTCGATTTCTTCTTTGGGTACGTTTACTAAACGACATCTCGTATTGGGGTGGTTACTACTGGGCTGGATTGTTGGACCTCTATGCAGGGGGGACCAGCCTGGATGCCGTGAAGAGGAGTCCAACAGGGAGACCATACGGGAGACCACTCGGGAGACCACGGTCCGGCTTGTGATCCGGAGGACCCCACACCCGGCCCCAAAAATCAGTACAGTGGGGCCGCGTGCCAAGAAACCAGTTGGATTTTGCCAGGTGCCCTGGGTTTCTTGGATTTCGATGGGATCCCAAGAAGATCTTGACGATTTTCGATCGACAAATTTGGGTTGTCACTGAGCAAATCGCGTATTTCAAGGTTGGGTTTCTTGCGGAGGTTTCTTGTGGCCGAGCCCCCACTGTAGGCAGAGCCCTTATTGACAAGTCGGGGGTGGACAGAACCCCCTCCATGACACGTCGATTAGTGAATTGTCCGTTTTCGGTTCTCGAGTGGGCGCCGCGGCCGTCAGTTTCCAGGCTTGCGCCCGCCAGGTTTGGGCCCTACTAAAGGGGGATCTGTCTATCCCCGAACAAGTTGTTTAAGGGCGTCTCCTTGGGTACATAGCGGTGCCAGAAGATCGTAGCCAGCGTAGTTCAAGAGTGACGAGGACATCCTACCGTGCTGTACATGCGGGAGACCAGACATGGGATCACACGGGAGATCACGCGGGAGACCGCATTGGAGACCACATGGCACATGCGACCATACGGGACACCATGCGGGAGACCATGCGGACCATCCCGAAGACCATCCGTGAGACCATTCGGGAGACCACATTGGAGGCCATACGGGAGGCCATGCGAGAGATTCCTGGCCACGGGTCGCCCATTCCTGGATCTGGTGGAAGGAGCTCACAGGCGCTGCAGAACAAAAAACGGTTGGGCACCATGCACGGACAAGGTTGTTCCAGGCGGCGCGAACTGTCGGGGCGGTCCGCGCAGACTACTTGAGGCCGCGCTGCACCCCCCTGGCAGTGCGTCTGGCGCACCCCGTGGCGCGCTTCGGGAGCCGGGGGCGGGGGATCCGGCGTCGGCCCAAGAGAAGTCCGCGCAGCCATCCGGGAGATCATGTTCAAGTTTGTGTTGGGGTTTGCTTGTCCAGCCCCTCATTCTCCTTCGTGTTCGCCCCTTTGGGCTGTGCCCCTGTCGCCACGGCCGGATTACCCCAGAATCCTGGCCAGAACGCGCCAGGGCAGATGTCTCTGGGAGCAGCGGCGTCGGTATCTTTTTGTTCCCCCAGTCGTCTATCTCCCCCCCTCCCCGCTCCTTCCTTGGCCTTTGGGCCCCTGATCGTCGCCACGGCTGGGCGCGGCGCTGAACACGAATCGGGATGGTACCCTCGGAAAGGGCTTGAGGACCGATCGTGAGCAGATTTTCCTTGGGAGGGCGGGATTGTGGCATTCGAGCGTCGTGAAGGAAGCAATGGACGGGCGTCATCACCCCGTTTCGGGCCCAGGATGCCCCTCGCTCATGGGTCTGGCTCGAGACATTCCACAACAATGGTGTCGAGAACTGCGCCTGTGGCTGTCGTGCTTTCCCCAACCTTCCTGTGTTGGGTCCTCATTTGCTACTGCTCTTCCTTCCTCCCGCTTCCTCCCTCATCCGCGTCCCCTGCTCCTCTGCGTTAGCCTCGTCGGTCCCTCCTCTCCTTTCTCGCACCTCCTGCATCCTTGCATGCTGCCAGGCGTGTAACCGTCGTTGGTTTCCTGCGCCCGTTGGGGGTTCAGCGGGGTGGTGAGCCACGCAAGCCCACTTAGAACTCGCCCTTGCTGCAGGCGTGCAGCTGCTGTCTCTCTCGTGCGTCCGCGGGGTGTCCAGCGGGGTGATGGGCCGACCCTTTCAGACGTCACACATGAGTGCTACCAGATGTGACACGTCGTCGCTTTCCTTCCCCCCGTGTGGTGTCCACCGCAACCTGCGAGGGTTTGGAGTGTCCTTGTGCACGTTTTCACGGCGCCGGATGTCTGGGCCCTCCTCCACCTCCACCTCCTCATCCTCCCTCATTGGTAGGCCCTCGCCGACCCCGGCGGCAACGCGGCCGGCAGCTCCGGGGCTGCCAGGGCCGGCGCGGCGGGGACGCAGGCCAGGAGGGCGAAGGCGGCGAAGGCGGCGAAGGCGGCGGGCCAAGAGGGAGGGGCCAAGGGATGGCGAGCCAAGCGGGCGGAGGTGGCAGCCTCGTTCGCTGCGAAGCTGGCGAGCCCGGAGGACGCAGAGCGCCTGGCGGCCATCCTCGTGGCGGAAGCTGGCGAGGCCAGCAGCCAGGAGGCCGCGGCTGGCGACGGTGGGAAGGCGCCTCTGCCCGGTGCCGGCCGCGGGCCAGCCGCCGCGGGCCGGCGGCTCCTTCGCTGGCCCAACCGCCTCCCAGCGGTGCTGGCGTCGCGCGCGCCCGCCACCAACGGCGCGGCCGGTGGCAGCGCCGTGCCCTCCGGCGGTGCCGTGCGCGCTGGCGCGGCCGCCGGCGCCGCAGCCTCTGGGGGCGCGGACGCTACCGCCGAGCCCTCCGCGCAGAAGCGCCGCAGGGTCTCCGGGCCGGTCGCAGCGGCTTACTCTGGCGGCAAGGGCGGCAGCGGCGCCGCGCTCGCCCGCGGCCCCGCTGCGCACGCCCACGCCATCGACAGCGACAGCGACCTCGTGGTGGTCAGCATGACGCCAGGCCCGTGCGCCGCTGGGGTGGGCAGCGTGGCCACTCCGGCACGCGCGGGCGCCACGCCGCCGGACGCCACGCCGCCAGATGCCGCACACGGCGCCACGCCGCCTGGGCCCGCGCGGGAAGAGCGGTTGCCAGACCAGATGCTGCGCATCTCAGCCGGCAAGGCCGCGGCGGCGGCAGGCATCGACCCTTACGGCTCTGCGACGGCGACGGCGACGGCGACGGCGACGGCGACGACGACGACGACGACGACGACGACGACGACGACGACGACGACGGCGGCGGCAGCTGCGGTGGCGGCGGCGGCGGCGGGCGTTGGGGCGGTAGGCCCGCACGCTCGTCCGGCGGCACCTCGGGCTGCTAAGCTTCATGCCTTTCACTCCTCAGCATGAGGCGCCCAGGTCCCGCCCCGCCCCGTCCCCTCTCCGAGCCGTCCTGGCGGCAGGCATCCACCCCTACAGCGACTTGGGCGAGATGTTCCTGGAGCTGGTCTACCAGGACCTGCAGGAGCAGCTGCTGGCGGAAGCGGCGCTCGCAGGCGTGGAGGTCGTGACCCCCACGGACCAGCGCGAGCAGCTCATGGAGAAGAGCGGGGAGAGGAAGGCCTTGGAGGAGGCACTGCAGCAGGCACTCAAGGCGGCCGGCATCGAGGAGGCGAAGGAGGCGCAGCAGGCGTTCTCGCGCATAGCCGCCCGCGCGGCGGGCGCTGGCCGATTGACCACCGAGGAGGCCGCGGAGCTCCAGGAGCTGCTCGGCAAGGAGGTCAGCTTGAACTTCGGCGCCCTCCACGAGGATCAGGAGGAAAAAAAAACACACAGACACAATTAATCGTCGATCCCCAGGAAAATATAGGAAAATATGGGAAGTGGGGGGGAAGACAAAAACCCAGAAAATATGGGAAAATATGGGGAATCCTTTTATTTGTGTCTATTTATTTGTGTGTCCCAGTTCCCCTTCAGAGGACGCGGCCATCGAAGTCTACGCGGAGCGCATCGGGCGCCCGGTCTACGGGCAGCAGAGGCGCGTGAACGTGGCCATGCCGCTCAGCGGGCCGGCGGAGGCTCGGCGGAACGGCCACGGCGTGGCATCGCTCGGACGTGTGCGTCCTCTCCCGGCGAGGGTCATCGAGGAGCCTCTTGGACCATCCTACAACCCCGTGCGAAAAGCAACTGGGGTTTGGTGAGCCCCCCGGCCCCCGAATTTCAATGTTCATCGTGCGACCAGCGAAGTTCGAAAAAAAAAAATCGACCCCGCGTTGAACATTGAAATTGGGGGGTGGGGGGGGGGGGGTGTACGAAAACCCCAGTTGCTTTTCGCACGGGGTTGTACGACGGAAATAACCGCACGGAGTCGAACAATGCAGGGGGAATGGACGTCCGAGCGATGACAAGACAGGGGGCAGTGCGGGGAGGGGGGAGAGGGGCGGTGGCCGTCTGAGGAGGCCGTAGGGGGGCTTCTCAGAAGCGCGTCGCCCTCGCCCCCTCGCGGACGCGTCCGAGGAGGCGTCCTGCATGGCAGAGTGGCTCCCGAGAGGCTGGGCGCCTCTCTGCGGAGAAGAATACACATCACTCGGCACACGCGTGTGGCATGTCGGAAGCCCGCGTGGATTTCTTTCGGGGGGGGAAACACACACACAGACACAATGCATCGTCGATCCCAGGAAAATATGGGTAGATATGGGAAGTGGGGGGGATGACAAAAAAACAAGAAAATATGGGAAAATATGGGGAATCTGGTTGTTTTTGTGTGTATTTATTTGTATGTCCCAGGGCCCCTTCATTCTTGGGCCGTCGTGCCCCCCCCCCCTGTCGCCGCCGACCTGAGAAGTCCGCGCGGACCTCGGCATTTTCTGAGAGGCACACCCCTCTCCGAATCCCCGCTCCGCCCCCAGCCCAGCCTTGATTACGTCGGGCATGCCCCTCCAACAGGAGGAGCGGTCAATAATAGCAAAGAGCACTCTGTTGAGGACTTCTCCTGCTCGTTCGGCCACCTGGGAGTGATTTCCTGACCACTGCTTATATTTCTCTTCCCAAAATCCGCCTGCAGGAAGGCGTGCCCCGCCTGACCCCGTCCTCGCCCCTCCCCCAGCCCAAATCCGCTCAGGACCCACCCATCCTGGCCAGTTGTCCGACCTGCGCCCAGCCGTGGCGACGAGGAGGTCGCCGTCAGGGGCCCACATGTGGCCCCCAAAGCGTGGGCCCCTGGCGTCCAGATTTTGGCCATGACGTCGGTCCTGGAGGTCTGGACCCATTCCAAGGGTTCGGTGTTTCATCCAGACTCGCTTTTTGACGGTCCCGCGGCCTCGTGAGGGCCCCCGGAGGCCGAAAATAGCGGAAAGCTTCCCTCCGTGATCTTCGCTCGATCCTCGATCCTCGATCCTCGATCCTCGATCCTCGATCCTCGATCCCCGACCCGACGAGGTCTGGGCATCGATCCTCGATCCTCGATGCCCAACGCCCCTTCCTGCGCTCCGCCCGCAGGCCCTGGCGCACGCGTTCCCCGGGACGCCCTGCGGGGCGCCCCGGCGGGAGGCGCCCCGCGCGGAGCCGGCAGGGGGCAGCGCGGCGCCTGCCGAGGAGGCCCTGTTCCGCCTCACAGGCTCTCGGGGGTCGGACATCCTCGCGTCGCGGAAGCATGTCGGGGGCGGAGAAGAGGGGGGTGATGACTAGGGGGGAGGGGGGATATCATGGCGGGGGCCATGCCCAGATCTCAGGGCGCCTCTTCTTGATTCATTACGTCCCCGCCCCCCCCGCTGGGCCGCGCACATGCCTCCGGTCATGATTTGCACCCCCCCCTCTTGAACACCCCCCTCTTGGCCGCTCCCGAACATGGCGACGGGAGGCGGGATGGTGAGTGGATTTTTTTTCGGACGTCCGAGCGGAATTCTTGCGTCGGCGCTGCGGGGTGTCCAGCGTCGACCCAAGAGATCCGCGTGGAGCTCCGAAAGCGAATAGTTGTGCCTCTTTGCTGTTCTACAAGGGGGGTGACCGTTCGCGTCTGCCGTAAGATGATGGGCAGGCTCCCACCTCAAGGAGCCAGCCGAGACAGGCATGGCAGCGGCCAGTCGACACACGGGGTTTGAGGTGAACGAGGGGGGGGGCGGCGGCCGGACGAGGTAGAACGACGAGGAAGGCGAGGCGTGTCAAGAGCATCAGTCTCTCTCTCTCTCTCTCTCTCTCTCTCCGCGCAGGGGCTACCCGGCCACCTGTAGATTTGGTGCTCGCGCTGTCAATGTTCTGCTCTCCCAGGGCTCTGCAGCGTCGTCCGCACCCTGCTTCTGCACGTCCGAGCTCCGCAGCTGCCTGCACGCCCTCCTGTGCTCAGCTGCATTCTTTTGCTCTTAGGGGCACTGCGCAGGCCTGACGTAAGCGTGAGAGGTCCCTTCCAATGTGTGCGTGTGTGTCTTTCAGGAAGGAAAAAAACACACAGACACAATTAATCCTCGATTCCCAGGAAAATATGGGAAAATATGGGAAGTGGTGGGGAAGACAGAAACCCAGAAAATATAAGAAAATATGGGGTATTTTTTTATTTGTGTGTATTTATTTGTGTGTCCTGGGGCCCCTTCCAATGTGTGCGTGTGTGCCTTCCGCTGATGAGATGGCCTTCGTGAGCCAGCGCCGCAGGTCCTGGGCCCGCCGGAGCCGATTGCCCGAGCGAGAGGGGAGCAAGGGCGCCTCTGTGCCGCCTTACTGGCTTCGCTCAGGAGGAGGAGGAGGAGGAGGAGGAGGAGGAGGAGGAGGAGCGAAGGGAGAGGGAGGGGGGCAGGGGAGGGAGCTAAAGTTAGGAGGAGGGAGCGAAGGGAGAGGGAGGGGGGCAGGGGAGGGAGCTAAAATTAGGAGGAGGAGGGCCAGGAGGAGGGAGAGCGAGGACGAGCAGGGGAGGGGGGAAGAGCCTCCCACAGACATGCGCCGGCCCCAAGCGGGCCCTCGGAGGCCGAAATTCTGGAGAAGTGGCCGTCCTGATTTGTGCAGTCCCTCCTCTCTCCCGCCGCCGCCTCCTCCTGAGCGCCCTGTTGAGGCACCTATAGCCATATTGGTTCTTTGGAACTTCTGGGAATTTCTGAACATCCCTCTCTCGCATCTCCCGTCCTCTCCCCCCTTCATCCCCCCTACCCTTGACCCTCCCCTTCGTCCTTCCTTTTACCCTTACCTCCTCTCCATCCCCCTTCCTGCCCAGACATCCGAAGCCGTAACAAATCCACGACGTCTTTCAGACTTCACGCCTGCGGCTGTCGACTCCATCTTCACTCTGGATTATTCGAGACAGTTTGACCCGCCAGCGCCCGAGACGGCGCCAACACTCTTGACGCTTCGCGTATCCCCGAGGGCAGCTCGATGCCCTCGTCGCGGGCACCTGGGGCAAATCTCTTCCCAAGCTCCGGGACCGAGCCATGGCCCTGCACCTCGCCAATATGTCTCCCACCAAAACCGCCCTTGCCTGGAACACCTATCTCATTGCGCTCATCCCCTACCCCTCGCACTACTCCCTACCCGACACCGTGCATGAAAGGGCGCTCCGGGCCCACCTTCGGGTCGCTCTCGGCCTTGCATCTTGCATCCGCTTCCTGGATTCCCGACAACATCCTCACGGGCCTGGGCATCCGCTTCCAGGTTCCCGGCTGCCCCAAGTGCCCGGTCGCCACCTCGCGTGCGATCGCGGCCAGGGCACACGCCCTGGACGACCTGTGGGGCCCGCCACAGTCGCGGCATAAGGCGGGGAGAAGGTGGAATAAACTCGTGAAATGGGCTCGGGAATTCGCCCCGCGGAACGAAACCCACAGACCCGGCTCCAAGGTACTGACTGACTCCAGGGCTGCTGACTTATTCAATCGTGCGGCGAGAGAGCCCCCCCGACTGCGGGCTCGCTACTTTGGTCGTGTGGTCTATGTCGCGGCCTGGACGCAGCTCCACGGACATATTGTTAACAGGTGGTTCGCCACAACCAGCGACGAGCGCAGGTGGGCACAGACAGACGGCGCGGAATGGTCTCTCCTGGGGCATTGTGCATCCTTCACCGAGGCACATCACGTCCTTCGACTCCTGGCCAACGGGCTGCCCGGGTCTGCGCGCCGGCGAAGCGTGGCAGACAGGATCCCCCACCAATGCAGTTGCGGCAGGCCGGCCAAAAGAGTCTGGCTCACTGCCGGACAAAGGGATGACGGCCAGGCCTGGTGGGACTCCTGCCTCGGGCCCTGGAGCGGTGAGGCCACCCTCTGGCCTCTCCTAAGCGACGACGTCCTCCCCGAAGATCTGCGCCCACTCGCTGCAGAGCGAAGAAGGCATCACGTCAGCATCAGCGTCCCTATGCGGCAGGGACTCTACGGAGCCTGCCCTCTCTGTGGCCTTGGGGAAGCCACCACCGAGCACGTATGGTGCTGGTGCCCCACGGCTGCCTTTGCCTGGGAAAAAGCTAGAGGCCCAGACCACCCCAGGGACCTTGCTACGGCGATGTGCACCAGGGGACAACACCAGAGGCTAGTTTGCCGCCTATTACACCAGACTTCCTTCAGATACTGTGTGAACCTGGACTGCACTCCTATTGGCGCCGACGAAGCCGCCAGGCTCATCGTCCAGGGCCTCACTGTGCCCGACTCCGATCTCCAGGAAGACGGCGAGGAGGACGATGACCTGCACGAAGGGCAGCCTCCGGGCGCCCCGGCAGATGAAACCGCGGTCTGGGCCCCTATGCTCGACCCCTGTCAGCAGTGCAATCCCCAAGGGCCACACCTACTGCGTATACGCGGGGCCGCCGGACCGAAACTCGGCAGACAGGCACCACGAGCCGGAGGGGAAATCCGGCGCCTCCCTATCACAACCAGAGCCACACGAAGTGGGGACAGGCTTCCCGTTCTCCAAACTTGCGACCCCAGGGCGAGCTGGATGCCCCCTGGGGTGGGCTGGTTCCCATGCCCCAGGACAGACAGGGACCCCAGTGCCCTCTGGACCAAAGCTTATTGCAGGCTCTGTGACCAGCACACCCTCGTGCTCAGAGCCGGCAGGGATATGGATGCGGGCGAGGAAATCACTGTCGGGGACTCCCCGCTCCCCGCCGCCGACACTGCCCAATGGCCCTACGAGCTCACGTTCGACGGGGGAGCGCGCCGAATCGGAGAGGGGGACAAAGTCTCCGGTACGGCCGCCGTCCTCTGGAGACACGACCCGCGCCGCGGCTACCCGCGCGTCGTTGCTGTCGCTGTTGTTGCCCTCCCAGGCTGTGACAACGCACGGACGGCTGAGGCCTCTGGCCTCGCCCTGCTCCCCCACGTCGAAAGCACGCTTCGTGGTGTCAGAGTGGTCGGCGACAACTTAGCGGCCATCCGATACGGGGCCGGCACCGGACGCTATCGACGGCTCCATCTGGCACAACAGATGGCCGCCTCAACAAAGCGGCCGACCGCCTCGCGACTCTAGGGGTCTTTTGGGCCGACGCCCTCCGACACGCCGGTGACCTGGCTGTCGCCTCCTGGGTCGTTTGGGACGGTGCCCATCGCCCCCCTTCTCTCCTCTTCCCCGCCGCTGGTGTCGACCTCTGCGACTTGGACCAGGTTGCCCGGTTCGTTGACGCTCTCGAAAATCCTCTTCCCCCTCCTCTCCCCTGATCGCCCCCGCCCCGACACACTAAGGCCCCGACAGTACGCAGCCTTCAGCTGCCGCAGCGACAGCCCGCAGCCTTCAGCTGCCGCCCTGGGACCGACGCGACGCCCTGGGATCATGCCTAAGAACAACCAAGGCCCCATCCGACGGTGGCCCTCCTGTCTGCCGTGCAGTGAGGACGGGCCGCCATTCCGTTTGGGCTCACGCGTCTTCCTGGCCCGGTTTTGTCCCTGGATGCGTTGGGTCTACTTCAACGGCGGGTGGCGCCACTGGTGCGAAATCTGCCGAGAGCCCGTGGACGACACACAGCACATCCTAAGTGACAAGCGCTACGAGATGTCGGACGCGCGTTACCAAGACGGTTGGCCCGACCCGAACACATTTGTCACTCCTGGGAATTTGTGGAGCAGCTGCACGGGTGGTTCCTGGGACACAAATCACCGTGTGTTTATTGAGCGGAAGCCCTGGCTCGGCTGGAGGCCCGTCAAACCTTCGGTTTCCCCAGGCGGTGCACGCTCGCCCCCGGGTCTCGTGATCCCAGAAGACGCGCTGCACGTGCCCACCACCTACCCTCTCTGGGACGACGAGCCAGAGTACAACTGCCCTGGAGGTGCCAGGTCCGACCCAGAGCAGGCGCGGACGCACCTGTTGGACAGACGTGAGGCTACAAGGACGGGCCTCAGGCAGCCCGACCACGGCGACGAGACCAGGACGCGAGCGAAATCGACCATCGGACCTCCGCCTGCTGCGCCTGGGCAACTTACTGACACTTCGGTCGGACCTCTACCCCCGCCCCCGCCGCCCCACCCTCCGCCCGCCTGGGTCCCGCCCAATCAGCAGCGAAGGGTGATGCTTTCCGAGGATGACGCTTTATCACCAACAAGTCCAGCGGGTCTGGATGATTCGTTGGCTTTGCAGGCGGCTGCCGAAGTAGTCAGTCTCTACTCTGTACCACTGGATTCCCCGCTTTCCAGGGTTCACCCCAAGGCGGCACTTGGGGAA